CAAAGGCCTTGAAAGAAAGACGTGTGTGCCGCTAATGGTGGCGGACACACACTAACGTCAGAATCAAAAAAACATTATTTCGAGTCAATAGTGAAAGGAAAATGGAGCAAGTTCAGGCCAAATGTCAGTTTTTGTTACATAGGATAGTCTTTGCTCGCTGTTAAAAATCACAACATTTGAAGAAAACGCCAAATGCTTCCGCCGTTATAATACACCTAGAACAGTGTCTCCCAAAGTAGGGTCCGCGGCCCACGAGGGTATTACAGGGGTGAGAGGCATAAAAATGAGAATAAAAGTTTTATATAACTATTGCATGTTAAATTAACAATATTTTGTTTGTAATATTAAAATATTTGTGTTCATTTTTTGACTTGAATAATCAAATTGTAATCCTTTTTGTATTACAAAATAGGGTGCGCCATTTACATGTTTGTAGCAGAGGCTATTTCTAAAATAACGAGAAGAGCCTATTTTTAACGTTGTCTTCTTGGTTATTATTTCCGGGGGGCGCACAGACCCGTCAGATTTTTAAGGGGGCCGCGGTGTTACTGATTTTGGGAATGACTGATCTAGAAGATTTCTCAATATTGATCGAAAAAAATAGCATTAAATGCGTATAGGTTACGGGTCATAATTTGTCGAGCAGCAAGAAAACACAATGAAAGGTTTTTGAGCAGTGAAAACATCTAAAAAATATTGTATATAATACTGGCAGAAATGGATAGCAGAACCCATTCCAATTAATCAATTTGTTGTTTAGAGCTCATCACAATTTGAAGCTGACAGAGCAGAAGTAAAGACAACAGAGGACATCTTGTTTTGCTCCAGAATAGACAGCTTTGCTAGTAAAAAATACATTTACAATTGTATATTTATTTATATGTTTTTACTGCTCTGTACATTGGAGTCTGTAGCATGTAAGGATTGATGCTGGATAAGAAAAAAAATAAGATTATTGAAACAAATCTATTTCAGGAACAGCAGCTGAAAAAAGGCACATGAGGCACATGAGAAGCATATACTGTAGTAAGCACGACTTCCTTTGTTCAGTCAGTGAGTGATTAGTTTTAGTGGTAGGAACGCAGATAAGCTCCCAGACAGCTGTGACTGTATTGAAATGTGCAACATAAATAAAAGGCATCATTACAAACCGCTAAACTGCTCAGGCCTGCAATGCTCGATGTAACATACATAGATTTAAAGCCGTGCCAAGGCTTTAGCGTGTTCTGCTCTGGTTAAAAGAATCAGAATAATTTTTATTGCCACGTAAGTAACAGGAAGTCACAGACTTGGAATCAGTGCAAAGGTCAAAGACTGGTGCAAATTCTTTAATGGTTTTCTGTGACGGACACAGAACTATAATAATTCTTGAGAAATGTGAAGGCCAATTTGTAGCTGCTGTGTTATTGTCTATGGTCCCTGTGGCTTTAACTGGAAGATCGCTCCAGTCTGCAAAAGGTCAGCTCTTCTGGATGACAAGATGCGGCGAGCCTGGGAGGACGCCGAGTACGAGTATGAAGAGACAAATGTACAAGCACGCTACATTTAGCACACACAAACAACACGGCTACTGTAACTGGAGGGAGCTGCGTCAAAGTCATCTCGGACTCTGGGGTGGAGGGAGAATATGAGCTGCAACTTACTGATTTTCTTACTGTGAGAAACTTTAATGAGTGATCTTGGGCTGCAAGATTTTTTTGCAATCAAACACATTGGACTTTTTGCAATTAGCAAATAATTCACAAAGTTATTTAAAGGTGCCCCAAGCAACGTCTAAATGTTGCTTCTCAAGGAATGAGCCACAAATGTGACACACATTTACACAACAGTTTTTTCCAACCCCTCACTCTTCCAAGGGCAGCAGGAAGAGCTGCTCTAGTCCTACTTTGTCTGGCATTTGTGTCCAGCTTGACTTTAGCCTGTGGTCTGGGCATTGCTGTTCACCGGTTTTCCTTTGGTCTGTTTCATGAATGCGATGATGGGACCTGAAACCCTGGACAGCCTCTAAATATAATTATTCCAAAAATCACGTGTGTGCATGTTTACTTGCCTGTCTGGTCCAAGTTGGCAGTATGCTCCTAAAATGAACCCACACCTGTTTGTGTGCAAAAGCTGACATTTCTACTCTCGCATCTCCAATTTAGGCTGGCAGGATGAAGGGTAGCCCAGCCGCACCACCTGGCAACTGAACCCCCCTCCTCCCCTCCTCACTGACATCCTGACAGCGGCCCACCGTCCCATAGAACCAGGCTGTTAACACACAACCACTCAACAAGCACTAAACAGAACTCCAGAGTTTTAAATAAGATAAGGAAATACCCATTATGACTTATGTATATATTGGAAAAATAATATGATAATTAATATAAAAATATATAAATATGCCCTTTATGTGGGTCAAGAGAAGTAGTCACTATAACTGTAAGAAGATGGTTTCGATTGTTGGATGAAGGAGTGCTCTGATTTGGATCCATTAAGCTCGATATACCTCATTTTAAAGCCATTTTTCTCAGGAAAACTACAATATAACTTGACTTAATTTTGTTCTTTAAAGGAGCAATATGTAATATTTGCATGTCAAGTCATCATTAAATGACCCGAATATTTCAAAAGGCGTTATTAAATCATGTTCTTTTCAAACACATCTTTAACTGATAACAGTAGTTCATCTGAGATATTTGATTATCAAAATTAGTTTTACGACCCGTAAAAGTGTTATTGTTTTGATTTTGATGTCCTACCCTCCGCCGTTTCGCCAATCAGGAAGTGTCATGTAAGTCCGTGATCGGGTTGCCAGAACTCCGCGCGGCTCATTAATCTCAGTGGTAAAATAACATGTGGCGCAGAACTAAAAAAGGTCTTGTTATGACTCTCAAATCATTAATGACAAAACAAAGACTAAAACGTAGATTTATATCGGGACGCCTTTGAACAATTGAGACAGCTGATAAAAGTTCACGTGTGATGCAGAATTTGCTAGTTTGAGTCCGTTCTTCACAGTGTCTCTAACTGTGTGAATCGGTGGTCTAGTGGTCAAAACTGTGCGCTTACGATGCAGGAACCCGGGTTCGATTCCGGGCTATGTCTTTTTGTATTTATTGCATGTTATCACATTCTATGACAGATTGCTCTAAAAACGGTAAAAGACGAAGGTCAAGACGTTTTTTTGCAGATTATAGCTTAATTGTAAAAATAATCATTTCAGACCACATGTACCCCAATTAAAATAATGTTAGTCTCTTTTTGATGTGGGACTTTTACATGTTTGTCTTAAAAATAGGGAATAAATAAAATTGAAAGGTGATATCCTCTTGAGCAAACCCTGATGTTGATACGCTGAAGAAATACGTTCCAACATCCATTCTTCCCACTCCTATTTTGGACATCAATTGCTTATTTATTTTGCATAAACTATGTATAATTACATTGCTTTTATTTTGTTTTTGTTTTTTATCTTAAATGTCCAAATAATAATAATAAAAAAACATGAATCAAAACATTCATTCAGCATTAGCACGGCTGTCATGGCAATGTGAATGGAGACGGACAAACAACTGATAAAATAATTCCCTGTGTTTGCTGCTGGAATTGGTGTGAATCTGGCAACCTGAGTCAGGGAGAGTGGGAGAGGACTACAAAATATTGACTGTGACTGCAGTACCACTTTTGGCCAGATTTTTACATATTGTTCCTTTAAATGGGATCATCATTGCCGTCAATATCCATTGGGCCTTTATGAATGTTAGTGACAACTACCCATTAACATTGGCACCAACTCGTACTTATTTGCTGGATCAAATCCTCTTTGAATGCCTTACAAAAGTTGTACGACATGTAGTTTTATGTATTTAGATTGATAAACATTATGTACCATTTTAGTAATACATGTATTGATGTGATTTCATGGCATCTCTTGCACAAAGTGACACCTCACCCAATCTATTTTAATCAAAGCACAATGTAGCTGCTTGTTTCCATGAAGAATTATGGAATATTCCACAGAAAAGCTTTTGTCTGTGGAGCAAAATACCATTTATGTACTAATTATGAAAGGGATTTAAAGAGATTGGGGAATGAATATTACAAAACATGTTTATATGTATGATATAATAAACAATTAACCCTAAACATGAAAGCAAGAGTTTACTTATACATATTCAAAAAGATGTGTAACACAATTTGCGTATAAAAAGCTTAAAGAAACAATGGCTTACTTGTAGATGGAGATCATTTAATTGACTGGCATCTCATTTGCATAAATATATATACATAATTAGGATAAACACAGCATGCTCAACCTCAATCCCACAGTAAACAAACAGGACAAAGTGACCTTGTAATGTCACTTATAAACTGTCTACCATGCATGCCTTTCAGGTCTGTTGGATGCACTAGTGACTTCTCCAGCTAATAAAACTCATCTTATCAAATACAAGTAATTCTCAGACTGTGGTGTGTGTGCGGCCAGCTTGGCTGAAAGCTTTCTTAATAAACTATAGAGAGCTGTGCAGCTGCTCATCTTATTTTTGTTTGGAAATGGACAGATACAATACTTAAAAGTTGTTCTCCTGCCCATAACCAAATGAATTTACTGGAGTACTGGAGTAGAACAGTGAAGGGAGAGCTTACTTCAATCAAAGATTTTTATTTATTTAGTCCATTCAGTAAGCATGATTCTCTTTTAACCCTGACCATGTGAAGCATCCAAAAGTGTCCAAAAACACACTGTATAAACCCCATGTATTATTATCATTAAGAAACCCACCACAAGACCTTCTCCACCTACTCCTACTGATGTCTGCTGCCGTTGTGTCCTTTAGCAAAACACTTAACCCCACTTTGCCTGAAGCCCCCACTGAAAGATCAAGGCTATGCTCTCACAGATAGCAGCCATCCTCCTGTGGACTCACCATCTGCAGGAGGATCAGTGATGGATGGACAAACATTGAAAAAGTGTATATGTTAGTCAAAGGCATTTGTGAAAAGAAAACTTGACCCACCTCCAGTAGCTGGGTCTTGTCGTAGTGGTGGCGGTGCAGGTAGATACATTGACCGAGTACCGAGTAAAGCCTCTCGAGCTGATCCACGCTGAAGCCTTGGCTCTTTGTCACCGCCAGATCCAGTAAGACCTAAAAATTAAACCCTTTTAATTCATGGTCTTTGACATCATGCAAGTGTCGTTCTATTGTTCTATTAAAGAAAAAGTAATTTACAAATGTGCATTGTGTATCACTCAGCAACCGGTATAAAGTAGATAAAAATAACAAAGCCAACATTTTATATATTATACAGAACATGGTTGATTACATGGTTGGGATAATCACCCCCCTATTTTTACCAATCTTGAGTCATGATTTGTTTTGTTTTTTCAAATCCCAAAAATAAGTTGTATTGTATTAAAAAGACAAGAAAATGACTGATATGACAAATACAATCTTTTATTGATTGCACAGTCAGTCTGTTTTTTTAAATGATCCTAAACTACTTTTGAGGTGAGGGAGGTCTGCTACTTGGTTCCCCCCACATAGATGGAATTGCTTTGCGAGTTATACACCACAACACAGCATTAATCGTTTAATTTGCATGTGTGAAATTACAGTCCCCATTGTCAGCCCATATTTTATCATCCTAGCCACACAGTGTTTATATAACTGCGGTAATGTAGAATGCTGCCTTAAATACAGGAATATAAAATGGTGCATCGTCTCCACCTCTGCTGTTAATTACTATCTGGATTCATGTATGTACATAGGAGGTCTCATGAAACAGATAGGTGGTGACAGGCGCATGGGAACAAGTGGTCACACAAGCAGCGCACCCATGTTATTGAACGTAAATGCAGTCAGTGGAGTTCACATGCATTCAAAAGCAATTATGATGGACCTGACAGCTAATTACGGCTAATCATAACCAGAAGCAAGTTTGCGTTTCACCGCTACTTTAATTAAAATGCACGGGACAGCGAAAAGCCCTTTTAATTGACCCCCTCCTAGTATTTTAGCAGAGTTATTTGTCATCGTAAATAAGACGCCGATCAAGATGCGAGGTCTCCAGAAAGCAAAGGTGATGTAATTAGAGCCGAGATCGACCGTCGCGAAGCAAACACAGCAAAGTGATTAGAAATTAAATGGTGTTTGTATGCGTGACGGCAACACTGTGGCCATGTGAGAAATGCATATAACTGAGCGGTGTTGTGATTAATAAAACGCACGTTGTTTGTCAAAGCCGCTAATAGAACGTCTTGGAAGAGATAATTGTGATGTGTGTTTGCAAAATTGCGTGTGTAAAAACAATAAAACTGCCATATATTCTTCTCACATTATATCAGATGGAGATCTATGCATAGGGAGTCAATTTGCTGGGAGAAGTATGGTAACTTGAGCACTATCCTCTCCTCCTTCCTACTTTACCCGTTTAGCATTATTAGGATTTTGACTGTAGTTTGTTCATTGCTAACCCGTTGTCCCATTGTCTGTTTCATGGTACGATGACGGGACCTCTGAGCCTGGCCTCCTCCATCTACACCTGCGGACGTTCAGCGGCCACTGGTCCACGTTCTGTAGCTAGCTTAGGTCCTAGATCATTAGCCTGTCCGTCCGGAGGAGCGGATCCCTTTCTCAAATGGGTCTCCCTCCCTGTGGGCTTCCCTAGTTCTCCCCAAGGTTTCTCACTTTTTCCCAGTGGGTTTTTTAAGAGTTTTTCCTTGTCGATGCAGGAGGGTCTTGTTGGACAGTTAGTGTCCAACAGAAAGGATTGGTGATGATCAGGACACTTTAGCATTCTACAACATGTATGGACATTTTCTTCTGTGTGTGCTTTATTTTTTCCATGTGTTTTAACTGTTGATTCTCTGACCTGTGTTGGTGATTTCAATGGTTTTGTTAAGTCCTCTGAGATGACTTCTGTTGTGACTTAGGCCTGGACTCCACCGGGCGCGTCTCCGTTGACGCGCGTTGGCTACTGTCCGTCAGACGTCCGTAAAACGGACTAGTGGTCAAACCGGCTGCAGCAGCGCGCAACTCTGTCTGTCCGTTTATCAGCCTGCTTTGTTTTTGTAGGAGACACGTTTGGGCATTGTGTGAATGAATGAATATTTGGCTGATGGAGAAGTGTGTGTGTGTGTGTGTGCGCGCGCCCGCAGCGTTTATTATGATCCAGCCTCTTCGTTTGTTTTCTATACTTATATAGCGCGTCATACACTTTTATCAGACCCAACTCCCCTCTCCGCGGCTTTAGGCAACAGGCAGCCGCTATAGTTTTAAATAGAAGAAGCGGCGTGTGATGTGCATGAGCTGTGGCTATGATCAATGCAAAGCACAGCATATTGAAGCATTGAGGACGTCGCGGATGAGGCAAAACTTATTGAAAGCAATTGGAAAAAGGGGAGAGAGAAAGGAGAAAAGAACTCCAGTGTTGTTGTGAGATCTGTCTTTCATAAGTGCAGTATAGCTGTGTGTGTGTGTGTGTGTGTGTGTGTGTGTGTGTGTGTGTGTGTGTGTGTGTGTGTGTGTGTGTGTGTGTGTGTGTGTGTGTGTGTGTGTGTGTGTGTGTGTGTGTGTGTGTGTGTGTGTGTGTGTGTGTGTGTGTGTGTGTGTGTGTGTGTGTGTGTGTGTGTGTGTGTGTGTGTGTGTGTGTGTGTGTGTGTGTGTGTGTGTGTGTGTGTGTGTGTGTGTGTGTGTGTGTGTGTGTGGGAGCGCGCGGCGGTGAGGAGAGAGCGCCTCGGAGGTAGAGGGGACAGAGCGAGAGAAAAAAGAGCGAGGTGTATATAAAGATTAGCGTACAGTATATTACGCGAAAAATGAATGGTAGATTTACGATCAGGAAACAATTATTTAAAGTAATACATGAAGAAAATTACACAGATTTGTTAATAATCATTGTCATTAACAAATACTTATAACCAAGGGCTACAGCTTATTTAATAATGTGGTAAATATATTATTCCATTGTATTTTCTATGGAAAACGGACCCGAAACGCGTCGACGGACGGAACAAATAGGATTGTTTCTATTTCGTCCGTCCACGTCTTTTGCACCCTCCGAGATAACGGAGACGGAGATGAAACGGACATGTTTGGACGGATCCGTCGTCCGTTTTACGCGCCCGGTGGAGTCGGGGCCTTAGGGCTATACAAGAATAAATTGAATTGTATTGTATTGTATTGTATCTGTGATATAATGTGAGAAGAATATTTTTTGGAGTATATATGTGAGGGGAAATGATTCCAAGGTAAAATACAGTATAAAACATTTCCACTAATATCTTCTATTTGCATTTATTGAAGGATTACAATAAGGGGCTCCAGACCATTATTGTATAGTAATTCCAAATGCATTCCTGCCATATACTGTAGATATGTGCTGTTAGCTTGTTTCACCTGCAAAAAAATTAATGCAGCAACTCGGAATTGGTGATACTAAAGTAAAACCAGTAACGGACTCGATGGCGACACTTAAAAGCTACTACCTAATTTTAAATACATTTTATTTGTCCAAACAGAAAGAGTCATGTTTAAGAAACATCGCATTTTTATCTTAGTATGTGAATATAAAATGTTTTCTAATGAGAGAAAATTGGCTGGTACACCATTTATCTCTGCAAAAGATAATCTAAAGCAGGGATGTCAAAGTCAAATACATCAGAGCGCCAAAACAAATTTGCTACAAGCCAAGGGCCGTACTGGTTCCATGTTTTGAATAATTAAATGAAAAATCCAATATATTTATACGGCTCTGTCAGTCATACAGTATCAAGTGAAAACATTTTTTCAACAGGCTCACAGACAAAAACAAATTTCCTTCAAAGAGAAAACACATGTCCTGAACATTAAATTAATAATCCAATATTGTATTATGGCTCTGTGCGGGCCAGGTCTAATACTAATCATATATCATCCTGGGGGCCAAGATAATTCATTCACAGGCCGGATTTGGCCCCTGGGCCTTGACTTTGGCACCCATGATCTAAAGGATAGGAGACCAAAAACACATGCGTGTGAAAATTAGAGATAGAACTAAACTGTTTTGAGAACTAGTTTGAAGGGTTTTATCATATTTATTGTCTCATTTCCACAATTGGAGACTTGTAATTAATCATTTGGTTACACAAAGAAAACACAATGTAGTTTGTCATTGCAAAAGCATAATTATTGTATCATTGAGCCCATTATTGTCAACCCCTTTAGTCATAACAGTCACAGCGGAGACAAAGTAGAGATCTGATCTTTTTGGTTAAAAAAAAAAGAAGTAATCCTTGATCTAATTGACCAACACTGTTCTCAGGCAAAAAGCTGAAGATCCATGACATCATATTACAAGCACAAAGCAATTTTCAAGAAGATAGAAAAATATTCTGCAAATTGAGCATCAATCAATTTCCAACACTAGAAGCTCTAAGGATAATGTCACACAGAACTCAATAGTCTGGAAACATGACATTAAGTGGATAATACTTTCCAGATTTCCACATCTTCATAATCCAATAAGGCAGACAGAGGGGCCTCAGCAGTAATATACCTGTGACATGAAACTCCACCTGACCGATCTAATCAGCCAAAGTCCCTAGCCAAATAAAAGCTGCATACATAAACTAGCAGGCCGGGTAATAATCTGAATTGATAATGGCTATCAGGGTTAGCGTCGGTACTTTTTCCTATTGAATATTTTATTGGATTCTTTCTGGACAGTTACTCCCAGCGGTGGAGCAGTGACAGGGGTCTCGGCTTTCATAGGGTTGAGAGCAGAGAGGAGCCAAACGGAGCAAATCACGAATCGCAATTTTAACAAGACGTGCATAAAGTTTTTATTAGTGTCATTACAAAGAGAAATTCCACCGCACTTTTAGCTAACTGCCATTGTGTGAGCACGTTTCCTGGGTGTTTATAGATTTAAGTGCACTTTTGTACCCCATAATTCTCTCCCTTATGGCACAAGTTGTCACCTCCAGACGATAAGAGCAGTTCCAATTTCTAGACATCTCACAGCAAATGCATTTCCTTCTATAATGAGAGCAGGTCAAAAATACTCATCTATGCAAAATGTCTCTTCAAAATGATTCATCAATAGAACTTTTTTAAGAATGCAAACAGGATATAACTTTTTATATTGCAAAATGTATTGAAATATGAAA